ACAAACACTTGGGTGGTGAAGCAGGGACAGTCTCTGCAAAATTGTAATTTTTGTTTGATTAAGTGGTGACATCTCTGATGCTGACCTCACCTAGCCACAGTTGCCACAATTTGTGTGTGTATTTGTATTATTTCATCTTTTCAGTAACAACTTAATTTTTCCTAAAAATTCTTTTTATAAACTGCAGGCCTTATCAGTCTGGAAGGGGAGTGATTCTGAGGAAAAAGTAAGGGGTGGACAAAGTTAGCTTCAGCATGAAGCAGGCTAGTGAGAGGGAAAAATCATATTGGGACTCTGGAGCCATGAGTCTTTCCTTGTGCATTTCATGCTAAACTCCTGATCTCAGCCCAGTACCCCCCTTTGCCATTGTAAGCTACTTTTCAACTGTAAAATTTTAGCAGTGGTAGAGTCCTCTTCAATTGTAAATCCTTTGCAATTTTAAGTTTGCCAAAGACAGAATGCCTTGAGGAATTCTGCCCTTGATTACCTCTTAGGTAAAAGGCCTCTGCTTAAACATGAATGTTGATCACACCTCACACATGTAATTAAAATACCTGAGAGTTAGCCTAAGTGCATGCGTAGAGTGCACCATGTTGTATGACAAGACCTTATCAACCAAACCTGTCAGTCACCCTGGTTCGTCCTGCAAACACTGCACAGGTAATTCCCAAAATTTACCCTTTCAATTTATAAAGGGCTTTAAAATAAAAGATTGGTGCTTGCATTCCACCTGGCCTGGCCTACTATTGCTTTCTCTTGCTGTGCCTTCCCATCACCTTCCGTAAATGTTACTATCACCTTCACTACATTTTCTCATCCTTCCTGAATCCTTTGTAGGATGCAAGCACCTGAAATCTTTTGACCACAGTCTCCTTAAACCACCCATCCAGTAACATTATTATGGCACAACATGCAACTGACAAGGCTTTTGCTCAGAAACAAAGTGAATAACACATTAGTAATGCCTGCTACATAATTGGAATTCAATTCAGGGATTATTTGCTAAAGGATTAGTTGATAAATAAATGCTTACCTACAGTGTAAGAAGAAAGCCTTCATGTCTGTGGATTACACATGGTGCTTCAACCAACTGTGGACCCAAGTAATTCAAAAAGTCTGGTGTCTGTACTGAACACAAACAGACTTTTTTCTTGTCATTATTCCCTGAACAATACAGTGTAAGAACTATTTACAGAGGATTTGAATTGTACTAAAAATTATAAGCACTCTTATGAAAAGTTTATAGGAAGATGTTCCTAGGTTCTATGCAAATACCACACATTTTCATATAAGGGATTTGAGCCTCTGCAGATTTTGGTGTCTCCTAGGGTCTGAGTACCCATCCCCATAGATACAAGTAAGTGACTATAATATAAAAAATGTTATAACATCAGATTTGAGTTTCATCTTTTACAATGGAAGTAACATCTTAGCTATAAGCTGATTACTGGTGAGATACTGAAGGACAGACCTTGGGAGGTAAGGAGATACTTCTCCTCCCTAGGAAACACCCGTTTGCATCTGAAAGGCATCTCTGCCATCAAGCAACTCAAAAAGGCTATAAAACCAACTCCCCACCCTGACCCACGGGATCACTGGTTTGCAGGTCCCCCTGCATTCCCCAATATGCAGTCTTTCTCTTCTCTTCTCTACAAATAAATTCTCTACAAATAAAATCTTTCCGACCTCTGCTATTAGAGTCTGTCTATGCTTTCATTCTCAGAGCAGGCTTAAGAACCCTGAGCACCTGAAATTCCTGCGCTTGTCATCCACGCATCAATATAAACTAATAAAAATTTCAAAGTGAATAACATTTTTAGTTTTTTGTGATCTTCTTTTTTGGAGAATAAGGATTCTCCTAACAAAGAGATTATGTTACATTCCTTTTGGACCCTTATGATTTTGTTATTTCTGTAGTTGATAAACAGCCATGCCTGGTGGCTTATGCCTATAACCCCAGCACTTGAAAGGCTAAGGCAGGAGGATTGCAAGATGAAGGCCAGCATGGGCTACCATAGTGAGGCCTTTCTCAAAAGAAAAAAAGGGAGTTGAAAAAACATTAGTTAGATAATTATATAAAGTGATTTTTAACAATGATATTAATGATAGGTGGAGGTGTAGGTTAGGTTGTAGAGCACTTACCTACCAAGCAGGAGGCCTGGGTTCAACCCCAGGATTAAAAAAAAACCAATATAATCATGAATATATATGATATGATAATTGTGTCACTTGAAATAGTGGCACCTCAGTAAACTTAGATGTTATTAAACTTTGTTTATATATAAAATAAAAACACCTGTGGGTAGGGACCAGTGGAAGAGGAAGGGCATAAGGAAAGGATGAATGAGGATGAATATGATGTATTTTTATGTATTAGTACAAAATACATCTAAGAATGAAAGCTATTGAAATTGTTCTATGAAGGGTAGAGGGGAAAGAGGAAGAACAATGGAAGGAATGAATAAAACTAAGATATGTTGTAAGCACATATATAAATATCACAATGTATCCCCCTGTACAATTATTATATATGCATAAAATGATTAAAAAATAAAATAAGAACAACTTAATGTATGGTGAGCATATTCTTCTTCGATTTTCTTTTAAAGAGACAATTCCTGACAGGTTTATCTCCTTGGGACTCAAGAGCAGTGCAGTGCTTGTTGTCATTTGGAATGTGAAGCGTTCATGTGTTAAAGACTTGGTTGCCAGGTGACAGGGCTTTGGGCCATGACTGGATCCTGAGGATTCTGACCTAATTGGTTGATTTTCCATTGACGGCTCATAATCTCATAGCAGTATTGGGAGTAGCTGGAAATGTCAGCAGTGGGTCTAGCTGGATGAAATATGTCACTGAGGGTATACTTCCTCTGTCTCTGCTTCCCAACCACCATTAGATAAGGAGCTTTGCTCCACCAAGCCCTTCGGACAGCACATTCTTCCTCAACACAGCCAAGAAACAATGAAGCCAGAGACCTTGACCTGAAACCTCTGAACCTGTGAGCCAAAACAAGTCTTTCCTCCTTTGAAATGGTTTCTCTAGGCATTTGTCACAGCAATGAAAAGTGTGACTACCACAGTGCTCCTGTTATGTCAGCTTTCCTTCTATACCACCATGTGCTTGTCATGAAGACACCATGAGGAGTCTTCATTCTCCAGATGAGGATACCCAGTCCTAAGCAAGCTCCTGTTATGGTCAATGTTGAGCTGGACTCAGCACCCCAAATCCTGTTCTTCCTGAACTAACGTGCTCTCCCTGAATCTGTGGTTCTTCATTTAATTTGGTCCATCAATTTCTGCCAGTTGTCCACTCACCCAAGAAATGCACACTGTGGTGTAAACATTTATCCACATTGTGCTGTGTCAATTCACATACATGAATTCCCTAAGGCCTATCCAGTAGCCCCAGCCACAGGAAAAGGAAATTGCTCTTCTTTCACCCTTATAAACTTGTAATAGAGTTCCTGGATTTGGTCATGATAAGTGCACACACTTCAAGGATCCATGTATTAAAGATCCCTAAAAGAGCCAGGTGCCAGTGACTCATACCTGTAATCCTAGCTACTTGGGAAGCTGGGATCAGAGGATTACTCTTCAAGGCCTGACCAGCCAAATAGTTCATGAGACCCTATCTCACAAATCATCAGAGCAAAGTGCACTAGAGATGTGGCTCAAGTGTAGAGCAACTGCTTTGCAATCCTGAATCCCTGAGTTCAAACCCCAGTCCCACCAAAACAAAGACAAACACCAAATGCAAAACCTAAAAGAGTAGATCTGGAATGTGTTTAGCCCTGGCCTCGATGCAGTACTTTGGTTTTGGTGGAGGTATATGAAGGGCAAACAGTCTCAAACTACTTACTACCACTTTCTCTGCTACCAACATAGGTGTCATTTGCTCTTCTCTCTTCCTCCTTCTTTTTCTTTCCTCTCTTCAGTGAGCCTTGCATACTCTTCAGCCAAGAATAAATTGGGTGGTCAAGACACTTCATGCAGTCTCACTGCCTAACTTGCTAGGGTCATGGAGGACGCTGGTCATTAGGAATAAAAAGCAGAGCAGCAGAGATCTGGTCCATTAATGATCGAGTCATGTAGACCATGCAAATATGAATTCCTCTTTAAATTGTTTAGAGTAGGAAGAGATAATAAAAGGTCCAATTAGGTTGCCTTAGTCAGGTTGGCATGTGAGAGGAAGAAAACTACATCCTCTTGCCAGGCATGATGATTCATGCCTGTAATCCTAGCACTGAAGGTGCTGAGATAGGAGGATCCAGAGTTTGAAGCCAGTCTGGGCTGCAGAAGGGGACCCGTTCTCTCAAAACAAAAACAAACCTAAGAAACGCTATATACTACTACAGAGATGGTTAGAAAAAACAAAGAGTGGCATTGATATTTGTTTTAAAGGAGGGATTTCATGTCTTTTTCCTGAACTTCAAGTGATAAAAATTCATAGTAAAATTGGACAATGGAGAAAATTATTCAGTAGAAAATGAATGCCATAAAATTCCATTATGTAGAAGCCAGTGCTCTTAATATTTTAATATTTTGTTTTCCTCTGGGCTTTGTGTCCTGTATATGTGTATGAATATACAGTCTGGTTTGAAAATCAGTCTGGTTTGAAAAAAATTACGTGATCTCAGGCACTCTGGTATAGTAGACAAAATGGCTGAACATTAAAGTTATACTTTATTAAAGATTAAAACAAAAAACCGTACTGACCCCATAGCGTGTTGGACTTTGGTTTGGCCTCGTTCACTTCTGGTGGCCTCGCTAACAAGTCCACAGCTTCCACTCCCACAGTGGGGAGTGGTTAGAGGCAGATATTCTTCATCTGGCCAGGCCGGGTCCAGCCACACTGCCAGGACCTCCAGCCGTCCCTGCGCCCTGTCACCTGACAACAGCCGGGTTCCGCTCGCCAGTCCCGGCCCGAGGTCAAATCCCGGGTGGGGACTCACGCAGGGCGCTGGCCACCACCTCGGAGGTGGAGCCTGGGGTTCACTGGCTCGGGGTCCGGCATGGCCGCCACGCTGACTGTGGAGCCCGCGGGCCGCTGCTGCTGGGACGAGCCCGTGCGCATCGCCGTGCGCGGCCTGGCCCCCGAGCAGCCCGTCACGCTGCGCGCGTCCCTGCGCGACGAGAAGGGCGCGCGCTTCCGGGCCCACGCGCGCTACCGCGCAGACGCCGCCGGCCACCTCGACCTGGCGCGCGCGCCCGCGCTGGGCGGCAGCTTCGCGGGGCTCGAGCCCATGGGGCTCCTCTGGGCCCTGGAGCCCGACAGGCCGTTCTGGCGCCTGGTCAAGCGGGACGTGCAGACGCCCTTCGTCGTGGAGCTGGAGGTGCTGGACGGCCACGAGCCCGACGGCGGGCGGCTGCTGGCCCGGGCGGAGCACGAGCGCCACTTCATGTCGCCAGGGGTGCGGCGGGTGCCGGTGCGCGCGGGCCGGGTGCGGGCCACGCTCTTCCTGCCGCCAGGTGAGCCAGCGCTGCCCAGCGCCTGTCCTTGGGCCACGGAGTTGTGTAGGTTCCTTGCCAGACTTGAGAACCACGTGATCGTAACCCTTGCGCTCTTCCTGCACCCCAAAGCCTGTTGTGTTCTCAGTGGAAGTGTTTCTTCAAGTTACGTGGCACTCTGGAGTCACTCAATCCCCTAAATTTAGCTAGAGTGCTTTCAACATACTTATTGAGATCCACGACGTATTGCCACATCGGTTGATTTTGTGAGGAGAGGGTGGTGGTTTTGTTTGCTTGTGGTACTGGGGTTTGAACTCGGGCCTTGCTAGGCAGGCGATCTTCATTTGAGCCTCCCACTGGCCCTTTTTTGCTTTAGTTATTTTTCAGAGAAGGTCTCACATTTTTCTCTGCTTGGCCTCAGTCCATCTGCTCAGATTATTGATTGGAGTGGGGGCTCTCTAACTTTTTGGGGGCCTGCCTCTAACGGCCATAATTCTGATCTCCATCTCCCAATTAGATGGGATTAAAGTTAGGAGTCACTGTGCTCTGCCCACGTGGGTGTGTTTTGAATGTGGATATTGTTAATAACTTCTGCCAGTGTGCAAGAGTAACTTTGGCCTCCTTTTACATCGGACTTCCAAAGAGGCTTATATCTACAAATACAGACAGGGTCCCTTAATCATTAAAAAATACACACAAAATTCCCTGACAGTCCTCTGCCCCCTTCATAAACATTGTGTTACTTGTTCTCAACCTGGAGTGATTTTTGCCTCCTCTGGGGGGGTGGGGAGGTATATTTGGCAATATACGGAGATATTTTTGGTTGTCACAATGGAAGGCGGAGGTGCTATTGGCATCTAGCATGTTGAAGCCGGAGATACTGCTAAACATCCCATAATGCATAGGACGATCCCCAGAATAAAGAATATCTTGCTCAAAATGGCTATAGTGCTGAGGTTGAAAAATCCCAGTCTAAGTAAAAACAGGGTGAAGACTAGGTATAAGTCATTGGGAAATGGGCCTCTTCCCCACGCTTTCTAACCATATTCCCTACTTAAGCCCCTAGATATAGCAGTGCTAGAATCACAGCAGTGCACAGAACTCCTAAACTGAATTAGTGATTTTTCTACAAAATGAGGATGTGTGCCTTATTTTCACAGCACTTTCTCCTAACCTCACCTTGTGGCTGCTCATTACACTGTGAACTCTTGGGATTGAAATTGGGTCTTACCCATTTTTGTATTTCTGTATTCCTAGAGACTTTCACAGGAATATGATAGGCACTCAATGTGTTCAAACCCCAGTACAGTCATGTGGTAACATGACTGATTCAGTAAGACTGTTCTCAAGGCTTTCATTTAAAGCAAACAAACACCACCACCAACAAAACCTCTCTTACCACCTAGTTGTATCTGATATTCCAATGAAGTTAATCTTGTTTTAACTATTTCTCTGTCTCCTACATGGCCCATTTAAAATTTATTGGGATGCAATAGCTAAATCAAATCTTAAGTGGGCTTCATTGTATTTATAGTCTAATAGAGGATGCTGGCAATTATCCTTCCACCTACAATATACCATGTCAGGAGTTATGACAGGAAGGTACAGGCCCAGTGTGCTGTTGGGAACACATCAAAGGCTAGCTAACCCAACTCAGCCTTGGGGGGATCTGGAAAGACTTTCAGGAAAGGAGAACTAAATTTTGGTTTGAAGACTAAGGAGTCAATCATCTCAAAAAAGGGAGGGAGAGAAAATACTGTAAGTATATACCAATATTCAGGGGCCAAAAAAACTTGGCACTCTTAATTTTTTTGGTGGTACTAGGGTTTGAACTTAGGTCCTCATGCTTGCCAAGGCAGGTGCTCTACTGCTTGAGCCACTGCACAAGCCCCCTGCTTTGTATATTTAGTGAAGATGTTCTTTAAGGCTGAAACACAGTATAACAAGGTGGGGAGTACATTCTAGTAATCCCCTGATTATATAGAACACTTTATGGCTTATAAAGCATTCTGAAATAGTTACTGTTTTTTGAGAAAAATGAGAAAGAAAAGTTGGTGGAAAATGTACATCTTATATATTGCTTCTAACTTTATTTGTTTATATTCTTTATATTATTGTTTATGAAAATATGTGACAAATTCAGGAGAAAATAAGGCATTTTCTTTGTGTTAAACACAAACAGAAATGAAAAAAAGAAAAAAAAAAAAAAGGGAGTTCTGTTTCACCAACCTCTCCATCCCCCAGTCTTCCTGACTTCAAAACTTGCTGATTGCCAAAATCTCAAGTCCAGAATGCTTTCTTTCTATTCTTTTCTTTCTTTCTTTCTTTTTTTAAAGAGGGAAGGATTTCTTTTGCTTAACAGTTTCAGAGGTTACAGTCACAGTCAGCTGGCTCCATTGTTTAAACCCAGGATGTCTTTTGAGAGGCTGAAGCCTTTTGTGATTTGTGGTGTTCCACAGGCGAAGAGTGCTTCCCCGGGATCATTGATATGTTTGGGACTGGTGGTGGCCTTTGTGAATACAGAGCCAGCCTCCTGGCTGGACATGGTTTTGCTGTACTTGCTTTGGCTTACTTCAGATTTGAAGACCTCCCTGAGAATTTAGGTGATGTGAACCTGGAGTACTTTGAAGAAGCTGTGGACTTTCTGCTGCAGCATCCAAAGGTGAGTTCCAGTGTTCACCTGAATACAGAGAAAGAGGGTACTGCAGACACAGAGCTGGATCCAAAAGCCTAGCAGGACACTGAGGGTTAGAAACATGCGGGAGACATAAGGGCTCCCCAAAAGTTACTAGGATTATCATTTTCATTCCCACCCCTCTCTCCCATCTCTTAAGACTTGACTGTTTTGTTCTTTTTGCAACTGTTTACCATAATTTAAAGAACACTGGGCTAAGGCAGTACTAACCTTGAGTTCTGGTTTTATATCTACCACATAGTGGCCTTATCGTCCTGAATAAGGCAGTTGACCTCTCTAAGTTCAATTTTTCTCATTTATAATGTTAGTATAAATGTGTAGTAGGAACTGTTTGACATAGAGAGACATTTTTGAGGCAATTGGTGACATTTAAATAGAAACAAACAGTATATTTGATATATTAAGAACTCATTACTAGGGAGGGGTGGGGCAGGGGGAGAAATGACCCAAGCATTGTATGCACATATGAATAATAAAACAATAAAAAAAGAACTCATTACGAATATTGTTAAGTGTGATAAATAGTATTTTGCTTTTATAAAGAAAATCTTTATTTGATAGCAGAAAAATAATGAAAATATTTTGGTATGATTATAAATGGAATGATACAAACTTAGCAGAGCTGCTAAAATCTAGATGACCTTGAACTGTGACAGTTGATCTATTTAGGGGAGATAAGGTCCTGGAAAGACAACAGACCAATATATACTACAAGTTATGTCCTTAAACTCTGGAAAGGGGGGCTTACTCCTCGGTCCTTTGTCTTAGATTACCATCTTTGGCCCTCCTCACTTTCTTAAGGAGTCTGAGTTGCCAAGGGAATGTGTCCACCAGGAGCCTATGTGCTCTCTACTATGACCTTGGGGTCTGGAACCATAGAGGTCTCTACCTAACAGCTATATGATCGTGCTTCCATGCCCTGAGTCTCTTCTCTGGGTCCATTACTGTGTATTCACCTAGACATGTAGGCTGGGGGTCCACACACATGTGAGAGAGACCCCTCAAGGTGCATGAAGAGCCAGGATGGGAAGAGAAGGAGGGGGTGCTCGGATACAGGGTCCGGGGTCAGTGCCTGCCTCTTCTCTATGACACATCCCAATACAGAATTCCAATGAATTCTAAGATTTTAAATTTTATCCTGACCTTATAAACTTTTATGGTGGTATATTTATCAATGTAGAAAAAATAATATATTTAACAGTTTGGTCATTTGATTTAGGGCGTAAGGACCTCTGTGCAGCCTAGTCTTCATAAATATTAGGAGATGGCCTGTATACTAGGAAATCCATTGATTTGCTTATTAGAAGATGTATTTCAGCTTTGTAGATTGTCATATAAGGAAGGGAGGCTAGTTATATTTGAGAATGCTATGCAGAGAATGTATAAGCACTGTTTTTGTCCTCCACCTATGAATTCTAAACTTGTTCTCCCTCTCCTTATCAGGTGAAAGGCCCTAGCATTGGGCTTCTTGGTTTCTCCAAAGGAGGTGACCTATGTCTCTCAATGGCTTCTTTCTTGAAGAACATCACGGCCACTGTACTTATCAATTCCTGTGTGACCAACACAATAGTTCCACTGCATTATAAGGATATGATTATTCCTAATCTTGACACTGACCCAAGGAAACTAAAAATTACTGAGTCAGGCCTTTTGAGTTTTGTGGATATTTGGAAGAACCCACTGGAGGAACCCAACAACCAAAGTCTTATTCCACTGGAGAAGGCCCAGGGGCCTTTCCTGTTTATTGTTGGCATGGATGATCATAACTGGAAGAGTGAATTCTATGCTCAGATAGCCTCTAAACGGTTACAAGCCCATGGGAAAGACAGACCCCAGATAATCTACTATCCAGACACTGGTCATTATATTGACCCACCTTATTTTCCTCCCTCTAGAGTTGCTGTGCATGCACTGTTGGATAAAGCAGTATTCTATGGAGGTGAGCCAAAGGCTCACTCAAGAGCACAGGTGGATGCCTGGCAACAAATTCAAACTTTCTTCCAGAAACATCTCAATGGTAAAAAATGTGTGAAGCAAAGCAAAATATAACATTGAAATCATACACCAAAAAGCCTTCATTAAAATCTTGATCATACAACTTCTGCTGGCTTTCCCAAAAGCACCTAGGAAGCTTTTTGTAGCATAGCAAACATCTCAGTTTCCTTGTCAGGTCCTACTGGACTCTTAGTCTTTGCAACCCTCCTTCCTTCTGTAGGACCAGTCTTAACCTTAGGCAAAAGAAATGTAACAAGTGCTCAGCCTGCTCTTAGTTGCTGGCCTAACTTCAACTTCTGTCCCAGTTGTGAGGACTGAGCTACTGTATTATTCATAAGTCGCACAACCCCTTCAGGCCCTAACCAATCTGTCTGAGCCTTGGGACCTACCCACTAGAGTCCCTTACCTCAGTGTTGCCAGCACATATTCCTGAAATTTACTCAAGACTTGACCCTGAACCTTAGGCTGAAGGTTGAGGCCATTGTGCCTGTTGATACACTTCCTGTATGTTTACCATCTGCCTGAATTCCCAGTCACTTTGTGGTACTTTCCTGTCTGGAAGAACACCTTGATGCCAAGATTTTCAGGACTACACCCTGTGAGTCAGGGCCTTCATATTTGGATGGCATGCTATACCTTTGGAATCAGACTTTCTCCCAGAACCATTTTCTTCTATTATTTTCCAACTGTGAAGGGCTGGAACGAATCTGCTTCAGCCTATAGCAGTTGAAGCACTGTCTGGAGCTTTAAGATACCAGAGCATAAGAAGTTTTCCCAAGACCTCAGGGCAAAACCCACTGGACACATACAAAATCTTTCACTAAAATGAGTCTATCCAAACAAATGCCTATTAGATCCTAACTAATGAAAAGAAAGGTTTCTTAGAGGTAACTTAATTTGAGCACGTTGTTAAAACTTTTGAATATGGGCATTCACTATATAGTATAATATTCTATGATGTGAATTCTGGGCACCTCACCTTTCATGCCCAGATGGACCTGCTACTCTAGAGATGTTCCTAGGATGGAAGACCGAACTAGTTATATACAATTTACAACATTAACAAAATAAAAGCAAAGCTTAGAAATCTATTTATCCCAAAGATTGCCATACTAAGAACCATTAAGCAATATAAAAGATAGTATCCTAAAGGATGCATCTACAGTAGACATAAATCACAGGCTCCACTAGTTACTGACTATGTAATTATCTTAAATTTTTCACAGCTCTAGACCTCCATTTCCTCAATCTATAAAGTGGGTACATAAAAGTAAGTTTTTCTTTGGGCTGTTGTGCTTAAATTAATCCCTGTAATCCCTGAGTGTCTTTTAACTATGAAATATTAGCTATTCTTTTTTCAGATGAGGAAATTGAAACCCAGAATGGTTAAGAAATACACCTGGTTGTGGGGAGAGCCAAGTCAGCCCAACTCCACGTGCCAAGGGCTTCCTTGACCATTTGGCTGTATTGTCTTCAAGCCTGAGAAAACCCGTTCTTATAATGCAGAGCTGCCTTGTGTAGGCTGTTGGAAAGTGAGTGTAAGTTATGGTCACATGATGGAGGCTCCATAAGCCACATTGGAGAGTTTAGATGTGAAATGATTTAAAAAAAAAATAAGAACCCATTTTTAACACAATGATTTTTTTTTTTTTGGCAGTACTGAGGTTTGAACTCAGGACCTCGCATTGGTTAGGCAGGCACTCTACCACTTGAGCCACTATGCCAGCCCCCTTAACATAATGATTTTTTTTAAAGGGCTGTCAATTCTCCTTGAAGACTGATTGGCTCAAAGCCCTTGAAGCCTAGAGGAATTCAAACAGAGATACTTTTAAAAAGGAAAACAACAAATACAAAATCAGAAAATATAACCATGTTGAGAATAGAATGATGGTTATCAGAGACTGGAGAGAGTAGGGAGGAGGGGGATAGGAAAGGGTCAGTCTGTGAGTACTAAGTTATACTTAGGAGTAAGAAGTATATGCTATTTATTGCACAGTAGAGTGACTGTATAATAATAATGAACTATATATTTCAAAAAACTAAAAGGATTTTGAATACCTCTACCGTAAAGATATGATGAATGTTTGAGGAGATAGTTGTTTAACCAGTTTATATGTTACAGAACATATGCATGTATTGAAACATCACATGATACCCAATAAATATATACAATCTATATGTTTTTAGGTGTCAGTGAAATTTAATTTAAATTTTAAATAATAAAATATAAACAAAGTCAGCCCATTGTTCTGCTTTCTTTTGCAAACCTAACACACCTAAGTGCTCTTTTGTTGAGGGGAGAAAGGGAAGTACACAATTTTGAAAGCAAATGCATGCTTTTGCCAAACACTGGTCATTTAAAAATGTTTGTGCAAACCTGTTACACTGAAAACACAAAGACTTCTTAATTCTCCCAAAGTATCACAACTGACCTATGAATTCGTTTTAAAGGATCTTTAAACCCTGGGAAGATGAAAGTTTGCAGAAGTCCTTGTGTGTTTTCTAGTGTTAATGTGCACATTGGCACAAAATCCAATATTCATGGCTAAAGTAATTTTGATTTCTGCTTCCAGAGATCAAAATTACTTGTATTATTTATCTAAAATGGTAGTCACCGTATCTATATGTGGCTAAAGGAACAAAAAGAGAAGGACTTTAACAAGTACTTTTCAAAGAAAACAGGGTTCTTGGATGGCTTTATACCAGAAACTCCAGGTACAATGGCCATATGCTTTCAGTGGCAAATAGATTCAGAAATCAGGATGTATGGCAATTATAATTTTATTTATCATAACCAAAAATTTGGTCCCTGAACTCAGTGTCAATTTCACAGATAATGAGAGCAGAGTTTTGGAGAAAAGGAAGTTAAGGGGTTTTTGCCAAGTAAAGGAGGAGGACAAAGACCTCAGTCTCAAAGCTGCTGTCCTGCCTCTTAGAGAAAATGTCCAGCTTTGAAGGGGGTGCTCAGGACCTTTGTACCGGGGTACATGACAGAGTGCATGTCCCAAGAGCAGATGGCAGCCTGCTTGTTTCTTCTTATGTCCTAGTTTTACTGATGCCACACTGAACACAACACCTCTGTGTGTCTTATTCGATGAGATTTACTCCTTCTGGAGTCAGAAAGAGATGGGGGAGGGGAATTTTGTAGTTTGAAAGAGTGTTAAGCTTGGGCTTGGGAGTGGGGAGAGAAGAAGAGGAAAAAGAAGGAAAAGGAAGGGACGAGGGAGGGGAGGGAAAGAAGGAAGAGGAGGAGAAGAATGATGGAGGGGAGAGGAAGGGGGAAAGGGAAGGGAGGAGGAGGAAGAGAAGGAAGAGGAAGGAGAAGAGGAAGAAGAAAGAGGAGGAGGAGGAGTCATTTTTGATTTCTGAACAAGCACACAGTAAACTGACCAGCAAGCCAGCTACAACCAAAAGTTTTTAATTTTTTTTGTAGTTCTGTTACATTATAGGTAAATTAAATATTTGAAAATGGGACTGTTTCTCCAAAATGCAAGATTTATATATGTACCCCTCTTCCTTGACAAGCAGTTTAATGGAATGTGTTTGCCTGGGTTGATTAACCTCATTTTACATATGTGTTTTAATTAAGATAGAATTCTAAATAGAAAGCAAATTTTTAAATTATATATATCAACACATTCCTCACTGTAAAAGACTCAAGTAATACTGATAAAATGTCCTCTTAACTTATACCCAATTTTAGTCTTCTCCCAAGGGTAATTACTGTTACCAACTTGAAGTATACCCTTCCAGAACCATTTTTATGCATACACATAAAATTTTGTATGAATGGGGAAATAGGTCTTTATTTTGTAGGTTCAATGCCTTTTCTCAAAAAGACTAAAGGTCATGTACTGTAGCATTTCTCTGCATACAAAACTATACATTGTTAATATTTGGGCCAGGCCACAGGACAGTAGAGTTTATTTCTTCCGGCTATATATCTGTAGCTCAACTTTCTCAATGAAAAAGCAAAGTTTGTATGATCCCATTCTTCTCCATCCCTACTAGTTTTAGGACTTTATGGCATTCAAGTCCCAGGGCTTTCTGTGTCCTAGTTTCTGTTCTCATACCCTACCATTTTATGTCTCAATTCAGTGTGTCATTTGAAACATTTAAACTTTAACCGCTGACAGTCTTTCTGGGACAAAGATTGTTTCAAGTAAGGACATGAATTTGGCAGGGGCCTAGCACACCTGGCTTCCTTCAAGCAAATTTAAGGAATTTAAATTTGCCCTCTAGTGGCTAGCGAGAACTATTAAAGAAGGCCACTGGCTGACATTTTCTGTCAGAAATCATTGATTTTCTTTCTTTTCATTGAGGAGTAGGTTTGGGATCAAATGCTGACTCTTTCATGTGGTTATACCACAGGCCTTCCTCAGTCACACCTTTCAGTGCCTTGCTAAGTGGCTCCCCAAGGAGCCACCCAGGTCCTATCATGTGGCCAGCAGGACTCACCCAACCCCAAGTGGCCCTCCTCCTGAGCACTGACCCTCCAGCATTGCCCTTGGCCATGGTCAAAGCTGTCATAGTCACAGCACCATGTGGCAGGCAACTGGGCTGCACTCTGACTCTCTGGGGGCCTGTCCAGCTCCAGAGTTCGATGTCCACATTGTCCTTTTTCTCTCAAATGTTGCAATCATGACCATCAGACCCAAGATCAGGTTGATGGATAAACTCCTGGATATAAAAGTGGAGGCCTTAGGCCTCAAGGCTGGCTGATCCTGCTGGCATTAGCCCTTAGTGAGGCTGAAACCCAAATTTTAGGCCCCAGTCCCAATTCCAGGGGTTCCACATGTCAGGTCTGACAACTCTACCCAGCAAACAAAATAAAGACACCAGTAAGGGCGAAAAACAGAGAAAAAGAGTTGGCACATCCCTCAGGAAGAAGCACTTCAGCCCCTCTTCAAGGTACAGACATGAGCTTTTAATTTAAATAGAAAAAAGAACTGGGGTGGGGGAGAGAGGTATGCCTAATTACTAAACAGTCCCCATGGCAGGTGTGTTCTGGTGGATCATTGTGTCAGTCCTGGTTCTGGGAGGGGTTCCAGAGCAACTTATCACTGTCCTCCTTGAGGGGAGCAATCTGGTTAGGTAAACAAGTCATTGTTGCCTGGCAGGTGGTCTGTCCTGGAGAGGCTCTGCAGTTCCTTTCCTTGGGGGCATTTTCAACATCCTTTCTTGTAAAGATGTTATCAATCAGTCCTGTCTTCCCTGGATTCCAAGGTGGCTGCAAGGTGAATGGCTCAGGGCAAAGATAGATACTAAAGCTGGTTAGCTTTGCTAGCTAATTTGCCATCTGAAAACATAGCAAGCTCCTTAATTGCTTTTATGTTGTCTCCTAGACATTGGGTAGAACATTCATTCCCCTATTGGTGGCTCAGATCTAAATTAAATCTAGGGTACCCTAAATGGTGACTAGGATCTTAAATTTAATCTGTTTAGTTACCTTTCTTCTGCCAGCTGCCCACCCTCCAAACTCCTAGTGCTGCAGACACACTTCCTTGGCAGTAATTTGCTATGTACTAAGCATAAAATTGTTTCCAGCATTAAATGTTGGTTTGCCTGTCTCTGCTAATTGGAG